ATTCCATGCCAGCTGGCATGGAATTCTGGGAGTCGTAGTCCACACATCTTCAAGCTGCTGAGGTTGAGAGACACCGCTCTGTGGTCACAGCATTGCTCACATTTTTTCTACCAAACCACACGTCACCATTTCATTTTCTTCGGTTTCACGCCAAAAGGCGGCAACGAGGGCGACTCACCAGCTTCTGGAAGAGGTGCCCGAGGACCACCTCGCTGTCCCAGTTGTGCACGTGGGGCCAGAGACTGTCGTAGAAGTCCTTGTGGATCTCGTAGATGTCCTGGATCTTGTAGAAGATGGTCTCTATCTGCTGGATGGTGAGGACGGGCTGGGAGGTGGTGGCCGTGGCCCTCAGCGGCTTCATCGGCTGCGGGTGGGGAGGGAAGGACCATCAAAGAAGGGAATAACCCCTGGGACCCCCACCCACAAGCAAGGGAACAAGGATCTCTCTTGGTTTGATTCATCTGATTTCTGAGATTTCCACCCCAACTTTCCTCCAGGAACACAAACAGCCTTCCACGGGGATCTCCCTTATTTTTTATCCCCACAACCACAGCCCTGTGAGGGAGGCTGGGTGGAGAGAGAGGAACTGGCCTGAAATCAGGGAGTTTCTGAGGCCAAGGGTAGATTTGAACCCAGACCTTCCCAGCCCTAACCCAACACTTTCACTGCTATATCACTCATGGCCACATCATCTATGGCACTGGCCCCTGGGGGCACAACCTTTCCCATCACCCCCAGCCATTATGGAGGTGCTGGCTGCAGATGGAAGCTGTAGTCCAGTGTTTCTCAAACTTGGCAACTTTAAGATGGGTGGACTTCAACTCCCAGAATCCCCTAGCCAGCATGCTTTAAGATGGGTGAACCTCAACGCCCAGAATCCCCCAGCCAGCACGCTTTAAGATGGGTGGAAGGCCTCCTTTGCAAGGAGGAGAGGGCCTTCGTGCAAAGTCCTAGTAAATCTCATTCTGCATTTTCTCAGGAGATGGCCCATGAGGGCCAGGAACTTGCTTTCTGTTTTTAGAACGGAAGCAGAGGTTCTAAGCAATCTGGATTCCCGGTCATTCTTCCAAGCCTCTATTTTCTGAGTCCTTGCAGAAGTGTGCTAATGTTGCATCTTTTTAATAAAAAAATGATTTTATTAAAATTTTAAAAAAGAAAGATGAAAACTAACAAAAACTAATATAGAGGGGAAAAAAGGAAAAGAAGAAAAGAAGAAAGTAAACAAAGAAAATATAAAGAAGTAGCTTCCAATTTTCTCTACAACAGTTGTAAGTATAAATTTACCTCTTACTCTATGGTTACAACATGACTCTCGTTTTTTCTATAAACTATTTTTTTCCTAATCATCAAAACCAGAAGTTCGTCTTTTTTCTCTTTCACGCAAGAAGTCTGTAAGGGGTCTCCAGTCAGCAATAAAGGTAGATCCTGCCTTTTCTCCAATCAGAGAAGTCAACGTGGCCGTCTGAGCCAGTTCCGCCATCTTTGCCCCCCGTTCCCCCGTTGTGGGCCATGCCGAATCCTTCCCCCTTGGCCTAACGCTGCATCCTGATGACGCCCCCCTAATTCAGATGGGCAACGTCTCACCACCCCCGGGACTTAAAGTTCAATAGCGAAGAGGAGTCTTGGAAAACACCCAGCCGTCTCTTCTTAGAAAGGCTGGAAAGCTTTAGAAAAATCCCCACCCTCCACCCCACGGTCCTTCCCACTTCCACCTTCCACGGGTTTCGCAGGGAACCAGAATAAAGGAGAAGAGAGACTCGCCCCCTCGCGGTCCCCGTGGCTGTTGTGCAAGGCAAGGCAAGGCAGACCCGGCTCGGCTCGGCTCGGCAGCCGGGCCAGGAACAGGAACTGAGAGCTATCAATATTCCCCCTGGGGAACCTGTTCCAGATGTGGCGGGAGAAGAGACTTTCTGCGAAATAAGACGTGCGGAACTCCCTGCCGCAAGACGTGGCCTCATGAAGGGCTGCGTTTATAGGAAATTCTGCAGGATCGCAGTCGAGTCAGATCTCCTTCACATCAAGCTCAGTGCCTGGTAAGTCCAAGGGCAAGTCCATGGTGCTATCCGGGCAACATTACGGAAGCGGTTTACAGGTAGTCCTCGACTTATGACCACAATTGGGACCGGAACTTCCATCGACCATGCAGCGATGCAGTTGTTAAGTGAGTTGTGCTCAATTTTACAACTTCTTTTGCTGTGGTCGTTAAGCAAACCATATGGTCATTAAGCAAATCCAGTTTCCCCCATTGACTTTGCTTGTCAGAAGCCCCCTGGGAAGGTCGCAAATGGTGATCACATGACCCAGGGACACCGCAACCATTGTAAATACATGCCGGTTACCAAGTGCCTGAACTTTGATCACGTGACCGTGGGGACATTACAACAGTCGTAAGTGTGAGGACCAGTTATAAGTCACTTTTTTAACGCCATCATTTATTTTTATTTATTTG